GAAGGAAGATGGGGCAATCTACTTCCGTAGTGATACTGCCTCGGAAACCCAAGGAGGGGTCGCTATGAGTCAGGGCCGACTCGACGGCACATAACAACATGTGATATCCTAACCATAATTTAAAATTATTAAATATACACAATAAATAGAGCTATTTCAACTCATGTAATAGTAATAAAACTCATGCACTGTTTGTAATAGTAATAAATAATTATAATACTAAAAGACTAAGGGGAGTGGCTAAATATATTATGACATATCCATGCAATGGAAAACAATGCAATTTTAAGAACAGCATGAAATCTCTCTCTGTGTATTGACATGGAATAGTCTCCAAGGTATTTTATTAAGGGGAAAAAACAAGATCAGACCATGCAAATATATGTATATATAAATGTATGTTACTTTCTGTGTAAGGAGGGGAGAGATGGATATACATTCATATTTGCTTATTTATGCATAAAGAAACTCTAGAATGTTAAAAAAAAATAAACAAAAAAATGTGATTATCTGTAAGGAAGTGGTAGGAACTGAGTAGATAAGGGGCAGAGTAGGAGGGAGATGTTTTACTCTATATCTGCATATATTTTTAAAACGAAAAGAAGGTATTACATAGTCAAGAAAAATAATCAAGGAGAGGTCAAAATGCAAAACAAAACAGGCCTGGAGTTATCTAAAATTTTATAGAAAACAATGTTTAAAATGTCCCAACAGATCAGCAACAAATATAATTAACTCACATTTCCATCCTTATTACTTCTAACAAAAGATACTAGGATGATACTTTTGTCTCTTCCTTGATATTTATCTACTGTATTAACTTCGACTCTCTCAATGGAAGAATATGTCAAGAAATCGTTGATTATCTTTAACTGCTGTCTGTATGGTGCAATGATACCAATATCAGATGGACTGCATCCAGCCTAAACAAAAAAGGACACAATTTAAAACAAAAAATCTTGACTTACTGTATTTAAAACCAAAATACCAAACTCATTGCCATTGAGTTGATTCTGAATCAGCAATTCCCACTGGTTTTCCAAAACTGTAATTTTTTTTTTTTTAATTGTGATTTCGGTGAAAGTTTATAGAGCAAATTCACTTTCCATACAGCAGTTCACAAACACTTTGTCTCACGACATTGACTACAATTTACCACAATGCAATAGCTCCCCTCCCACTTCTTCCCAATAGTTACCTCTTCCCGGTGTCCTTCCCTCCATGCACTCCTGCCCCTGAGCTGTCTCCCTGTGCATAAGCAGATCTTCTTTCACCCATGATTGTCCTCTCCAAGGGGTGTATCTACCTAGTGTAAATGTTCAGCTCATATGCCTGTCTTTTATTTGGCTGGAAGCCACAGGTGTGTGGGTTCAACTCCAGACCTGAAGGGCAGCTAGGGGCCATAGTCTCAGTGGTTCCACCAGGCTCTATCAGACAAGCAAACTTTGTCCCTTTTTTTTTTTTTCCCCAAAAAACTATAAATTTTTACAGAAGCAGAATGCCAAATCTTTCTTCTGCAGAGTAACTGATGGTTTCTAACCACCGACCTCCTGGATAGCAGCCAAATCCCTTTCCCACTATACCACCAGAGCTCCTTTTTACGGTATTTAGGCTTCACTAAATCTATTAAAAGGAGCTCTGGTAGCATAGTGCCTAAGGCATTTAACTGCTAACCAGAAGGCTGGCGGTTCAAACCCACCAGCCACTCCTCGGAAGGAAGGTTGGGCAATCTACTTCCGTAATGATACCGCCTTGGAAACCCAAGGAGGGGTTGCTATGGGTCGGGTCCGACTTGATGGCACATAACAAAAACAACAACAAATCTATTAAAGCAAATATTTACATTATGTGCTCAATTAATGTTTATAGCAGATGTTTTCTCAAGGAAGAAATACAACTATTCGATTTGCTCTAAATCTAAGTCCATATTTCCCATGATTTAATAATTCCTTCAAACAATGCTCCCTTGACATAAGGTTCGTGACAGCATATTTGCATGCTACTAAACAGTGCTGCCACATAAAATACAGTATAAAAAATACATTTTACTTTCTGCTACCCAAGGAGGGGTCACTATGAGTCGAATCGACTCCACAGCAGTGAGTTTGGTTTTGGTTATCCCTGTGTAAAAATGTTCCCAATCCATGACACTGACACAACTGGAATTATCTGACATTTACAAGTTATCCTGAATGGAAACTGAAAACATCATTATAAAAAAATCACACATCTTAGATAACTGTTCTCAAAATAAACCAATCAAGCTTCATTCTCCTTATCTTAATAAACAAGGCTTAATACCAAAGCTTAAGATCTTTATAACTCTGTCTATGTAACTCTGTACCTTTATATTATTATTCCTTTATACTCATTACTCCTCAAAACAGAGTACATTCCAAATTACCTTAATAAAAAGTGAGGTCAGGAAAACTGTGAGTTTGGCTTCTATTATATTGCTCACACCACCTTTTTCAACTTGTTCTGGTGCTGGAACCTAAATAAGCGGGGGAAATGCATCCTGTTTATAAAACAATCTCTAAAGTTAAGGGCATTATAACTGCTCAGGTAGCCACAGGGACTATCCTACTGGATTTAGGCACAGATAGAAAATATCTTCATCTTAGAAGTTGAACTTAAAAGAATTCAACAAAAATTAGTAATATTACTTACTTTCAGAAACCCAGGCAGAGGGAACCCATCTTAAACATGCAATGGTTTAGACTAATATCTCTATGAAAGCTGACCACACATTGGACCAAGTGCGTCACATACGTTATCATCATTCATGATACAAGAGTCAAAGGCCAGAAAAGATAACTAGCTTGCCCAAGGACCGCACAATAAATCATGAAGTGAAGAGTAGAGATCTGGCTCCAATATCTGTGATCTTTTCTTGCTGCCTTTTGTACCAAACCTGGTAAAACTCTGCAAGGATTAGTTTGCTTCCATATTATCCCTAAGCAACCCTATGTTTACTCTCAAATTAACTCATTTGGAAACTCCATGCTAAGAAAGAAGAAATCTAAGTATCAAAAAATAAAAGAATCTGTGCACTGAGTGGGCTGGATACTTTAAAATGATTAATTTTATCCTAAGTAGACTTCATCTCAAGTTAAAAAAAAAATCTGAACAATCATTTGTAAGGTAAATAATTGTAAATTATAATTAATAAATTGCAACTATGGTTTCTAAGGGCAAACATTTGTGAGGTTAGTTTATGTGAATAAATTTCCCAAAGCACACCAGCCCTTAGATGTTAAGATAAAATCAAATTCTTGAACCTGAAAGGCTAAGGGCAATATTCAAGAGAATGAAAACTCCATGAAAGTACATATGAGGTCCCATTTTTAACAAGCAGCAGGCTTCACTATTCTTAATAACAACCACCACTACCAGTTGCTATCTGGTTAACTCCAACTCATGGTATAACACATGTGTGTCAGGGCAGAACTGTGTTCCACAGGATTTTCAATGGCTGATTTTTTGGAAGTAGATCATTACGCCTTTCTACTGAGGTACCAACCTTTGGGTTAGCAGCCAAGAGTTTTAACCCTTTGCACCACCCAGGGACACAAATAATAAAGGACACAATTATTTTAGAGTAATCTATCAGTCACTTTATTTTTATTTGAACTTATGTAAAAGACTTCAAATTAATGCACGGAAACACTATATGAAAGTGTAGGAATATAGGGTCAAAACTTCTTTCTCAGTTCCTAGAAATAAATCAGATCATTGAAAGTGCTTGTGAAGACTTTCATCTAACAACAGATTTGTACATAAGTCTTCAAAATGACATCAATTTATTGTAACTTCTGCCCACCTGTAATCTATCCTTTGGTTAATTATACCCCTGAATTCATTTTCTACCTTTCCATCTTCAAAAGTCAATGCTGAGGAACTGGATGGTGTCCGGTTACCATTACTCAACATTTTGATCAAAGATTCCATAGAAGAATTCTGATCAAAAGGGGGGAAATTCAAAACAGAATTTAAAATTCTCATAGACTCTAGATTTTCTGGAGCCATGGAGGGTGGATAAACCCCTGAAATTTCTGCCATGAAATAATCTTTAAACTTTAAAACAAAATTACCCCCTGAAGTCTTTTAAAAACAAAATAGTAGTTTAGCTTAACTAGTAAAAAAGGTCTGCCTTGAGCATTATGCTCTTTTAAGAACTATCTATGCTAAGCAGGGGGGAGTGTGCCCAAGACCATGTATACAGTTGACAGACAATGTTTCTATAAGTCTATTTGTATGTTCTATAAGAATTCACAGGTACATAGTGGAGCTGACATGGGACAAGGATGTAGTCACTTCTTGGCCATAGCCAGCTACCCAGAGGGAGCGAGTAGTTGGACCTGTGAGCTTGGGACCACACTCCCATGGAACATCAAGCTCAATTGGCATAACATACTACAGTAAAACAGTGTTCCACATCCTACTTTGGCAAGTAGTGACTGGGATCTTAAAAGCTTGTAATCAATAGGTCTCTCCTCACCAGAGAAAATAAGAATGAAGAAAACCAAAGATGCATGGAAACAATTAGTCAAAGGGACTGGTATACCATGCGATTCTCAGCCTGTATGATTATAAGACCAGAAGAACTAGAGGATGCCCGGATACCACTGTCAACCACTCAGACGAGGATCTATGTAGGAGATCCTGAATAAAGTGGGAAAACAATGTAGGACAAAACTCAAAATCATTTGGGGAAAAAAAAGGGACCAGGTTTGCTGATCTGATAGAGCCTGATGGAACCACTGAGACTATGGCGCCTAGCTGTCCTTCAGGTCTGGAATTGAACCCTCTCCTGTAACTTCCAGCCAAACAAAAGACAGATGTGGTGGTTAATTGTGTGTCAACTTGGGTAGGCCTAGTTGAGTGGCTGGGCAGCTGGATATAGTATTCCCTATGATGAGACTGCTGATCCACTCCATGGTGGAATCTATTGGGAGCAGCTGAGTAGCTGCCATTGGGTATGTGGTCTGCTTCCTGTATATAAGAAACAGCTTTGGACATGGCCTCTAGCTTATGGCATGCTTGAACCCTGCATATAGCCATGTCGTTTTTCAGCAGCCTGTCATGCTCTGCCAACCTTGGGACTTTCAATGGATTTGAATTAATGGCCTGCCATGTGGTTTGGACTGTGCCATTTTATTTGTCAACCTTGAGCTTGTTAGCCTCAGCAGGCAGTAGCTATGTGAGTTAAGAGATGCCTCTAGCTTCAGTGGGCTGGGAGGAAGAGGCAAAGCTGAAGCCCAAGGTCGAGGGGCTTTCACACAGCCCCTAGAGCCTGGCACTTTGAACTCGGACTTCTAGTCTCTCGAACGGTAAGAGAATAAACTCCTGTTTGTAAAGGCCATCCCATTTGTGGTATATTCATGTCAGAGCGGCACTAGGTAACCAGAACAGGCATATAAGCTGAACATTTACATTAGGTAGACATACTCCTTGAAGAGATCAATCAGGGGAAATAGAAGGGCTGTGTATGCACATGGAGACAGCTCAAGGGGGTAGGAGTGCATGGGAGGGAAAGACACAGGAAAGAGTTAACTATGGGGATGAAGTGGGAGTTTTTTGTGAGCTGCTGTATGGAAAGTGAATTTGCTCTGTAAACTTTCACCCAAATCACAATAAAAATTTAAAATAATAATGATAATAATAAAAGAACTATCTACATGGGATCAAATTGGCAATAGCAACTCAAAAGTCAGGAACTTTAAGGGGCAGTGAGTTTAAGTTAATGAGGGAAGCACAGCTCAGAAAAGGAGGGTGAGAATGATTGCACAAGTCAAAGTGGAAACGGTTGTAGAAACAGTTGAACCAGTGTATGCTTTTCTGTTATATTCTCAACATCAGTAAAATAATATGTAAAGACAAAAGTTTTTAAGTCAATGCTGATGTCTATCAGTTCCCAGAATAAACCTCCCAAAAGACACAAAGTCTGCAGGAAAAGATTCCTTCTGTGCTGACATAGAAGTACACTAGTTTTAGGTTTTAACTGATAAGCTCTAGTAGAGCATACACTACGGCAAACTGAGAAATTTAAATAATAGGACAAAAGGAGAAAAAAATAAAGAAAAAAGCCTGCTTTTTACCTTGTTCGTATTAAGAAAACAAACAGGATTGTTTGGTTCAAATACTCCATTCAGCCAAGGATTTTCAGAATAATCGGCAAAAAATTCCAGCTCCAACTTCACATTTTTAAAGTTAGGTAGATTTATCACTGCATTGGCCACTTTATCTGATCCACACTCCAGCTTTCCCTCATATATCAGCTTATTACTTAAGGACATAATTTTACTAAGGGAATTACAAAAATAGTTTTAGTTTTGTAGATAAAACGAACATGAAATTCACTTACAGCTAACAGTTATAAATACCTGTTCATTCTGTACTGTACAGTTAATTGTACAACAGCATTCTTATTCTGTTCCAGCCTCTTAAATAAGCTTTCACTCATGCCAAGAGCTCTGTCAAAAGTCAAACACAAGCTTGTCAGTATACTGAAACTGTGCTTTGAAAAGACTCCAATTTAAAATGGAAACTTGAATATCTGCTTACCTTGCTTCACGGTTCAGCACCAGGGGAGGAAGCTGTTGATGATCCCCCACCAACACAAATCTCCGTGAAAAAAAGAGGGGCCCCAGGCAAATTGGTTGGCTAATTTGAGAGGCTTCATCCACAATACAAAAATCAAAAATTTTACGGGAAAAAATTGGATGGTTTATTCCCATACATGTTGTTGCAACTATAAGCTAAAAACGAATTTTAAAAAATAGAACTGTTACTCAGTATGTAAAAGATATACAATTTGTTTTTCCCATTTTTTACATTAAAAGATCAAAAAAATTTTTTGTACCATAATAGGAATCCCCTAACACTATTTTAATTGTGAAATGTTTACAGCATGAAAATATTTCTAAAATAATTTTTTTTTCTTTACTAACAATTAAGAAGCCCTGGTGGCAAAGTGGCTGAGCACCCACCTGTGAACCAAAAGGTCAGCTGTTCAAACCCACCAGCTGCTCTGTGGGAGAAAGATGCAACAGTCTGCTTCCATAAACATGTACAGCCTTGTGTATGCACAGGGAGACAGCTCGGGGGGCAGGAGGACATGGAGGGAAGAACACAGGGAAGGTAACTATGGGGAGGAAACAGAAGGGGAGCTGCTGCATTGTGGGAAATTTCAGTCAATGTCATGAGACAAAGTGTATGTGAGCCGCTGTACCAAAAGTGAATTTGCTCTGTAAACTGTCAACCAAATCACAATTAAAAAAAAAAGAAAAGGGACTAGTTTTTACATAGATGGAAACTTTCTTTGTTGGTTACTAGGGATGGGAGGGGAGTGAAGGGAAAATTTCCAGATAGGTTGAAAAACAAAGTTATACTATACTTTTGCAAGATGCTACTCTGTAATATGTCTTACAACTACATGAGAACCTATAGTTATCTTAAAGTTTAATTTTAAAAAAGTCAACTCGACATACATTTCAACTACTTAAAAATTTATCAATAATTGGTATAAAAGATAACCAAACATATATTAGTATTAGATAAAGGTGTAATACTGGAATTGAAGGAACAGCCTATTACATCTATTTTACTTTAGGTGATTATTTTAAGAAAAGAAAATCTGTTCCCAGTATTTGGATCAAAGACCTGAACATAAAACCTAAAACCACAGACCATCAAAGAAAAAATAAGGACAAACTAAGGGGCAAATTCAGGGCATAAGTACACTATTGAATATAACTAAAAACACACAAACACTAGAAGTCAAATAGATGACTGAGATTTCCTAAAAATTAGACACTTATGTGCATCAAAAGATTTCACCAGAAGAGTAAAAAGAACACAAAAGACTGGTAAAAAATTTTTGGCAATGACATATTGGACAAGGGGCTAATCTCTAAAATTTATAGAAAATTTCAACAACTTGACAGACAATCCAACTAAAAAATGGGCAAAGGCCATAAACCAACACTTCACCAAAGACATTCAGCTGCCACTGCAAACCCCAGCACCCCTGCAAAGACCCCAAAACTTCAAAGGAAACATCAGAAGCTATTCCAGATGAATGGAGCTACTTGCACAGAGTCTGCTGGTAAAAAGCATCAGAAGAAGGTCTCAGACAAGTCACCACAACCCACCTTGTGGAAGAAGGCAAGGCCGTCCTTGGCCAATGGGAACCCCAGCCTCCTTTAGAGTGGGGCCAAGAAGAAGGTACAGATGAAGAAGAGGGGTAAGCCTTGAATGTAGACCCTTCTACCCAGCCCCTACCAACAGCCCTCTCTAGAGAATCCTATTTTTCCACCATAATTTAAAAAAAGAAGGCATTCAGGCAGCTAACAAACATATGAAAACATGCTAACGATCATTAGCCATTAGAGGGGTGAAAGCAAAACAACACTGAGATATCATCTCACCCCAGCACTAATAGCAAAGTCAAATAAACAGAAAATAACAATTGCTGATGAGGGTATGGAGAGACTAGAACCCTCATATACTGCTGGTGGGACTGTAAAATGGACCAACTACTGTGGAAAATGGTATGGTGCTTCCTTAAAAAGCTGGAAATAAAAATATATGATTCAATGATCCCACTGCTAGGTATATATCCTAGAGAAATAAGAACCATGACACAGATATATGCACCCCCATGTTCATCACACTATTCACAATAGCAAAAAGATGGAAACAACCTAAATGCCCATCAATGGAGGAATGGATCGACAAACTATGGTACATACACACAACAGAATACTACTACACAACATTAAAGGGCATTGAAGAATCTGTGAAACATCTTGTAACAGGGATGAACTTAGTGCCCATTATGCTGAGAGAAGTTAGTCAATCACAAAAGGCAATTATTATTTTTTTTTGTTTTAATTTTATTTTGATTTGGGTGAAGATTTACAGAGTAAATTCACTTTTCATACAGCAGTTCACATATACTTTGTCTCATGTCATTGACCAAAATTTA